GCTAAACCCCCAATGAGGCAGGTTCCCCCACCCCCCCCCGCTGAGTTCTACTCCCTACCTATTTGGGGCAACATAGGGAAATGGTACTCGACACACTTGTGTGTCGGTGCCTTTCCCTGTGTTGTTCCTTTTCTAGTCTTTCCTACCCGGGCGGTCTAAGACTAAAGTCCCGCTCCCTAACTATTGCACCTAATTAAGACCTGCTAAGTAGTCAGTAACTAATTCTTGTTGAAACCTTCTGTTGATCGGACCCAGCACTTCTTTCCGTTCCCTCAAGTCAAGGGCTAAGTATTCAGTAACTAGAGTGCTAGGTAGTCAGTAACTAGAAGGTTTTGTAACTAGTGGGCCTCGTAACTACCCCTATCTTTCTTTCTTCCCCTCTTAGCGCTGCTCTTTCTGTCTTTCTTTCCTTTTGTTTCTAAGGCTTTTTAGGTGACTATTTAGTTTTCTCACATGCGCGCCGGAAAAGCGCCGAAGCCGGCGACCTGTGTGTGTGTCCACCCCTGGACAAAGGGTTTTCCACCGCTACTCCTTCCACAGTTTTTCAACCACCTTTTTCAACCACCTTCTACAGGCAGGGGGATCAGGCTTCCAGTGACTAACCTGATCCAACGAAGCTGGGTCACTGGAAGGGAAGTGGTTGAGGACGCTCAACCATGTACCTGCAAAGTTTTCCACAAGCTGTCCACCCTACTCTTTCCGCGTTTTGTTTCATGGTGGTTCACATGATACTACCCCATAAACAGGTTTCTCTTGCACCGCACCGCCCGAGCGACCGATCGTCTCTGCAGACTTGAGCAACATTTTTTGAAACACCTACAAGTTTTCGGACCTTTCACCTTGCGGTTCTTCACCATCCTTCCCATCGTGGTAATTGAGTCACTGAATACAAGTGTCAGAGTGTGCGTGTGTTGAATTGAACTTCCAATATTTCCCGGGGGGGAATCACATTGTGGTACAGCATAATTCTAAAATACACATAATATCTACAATATTCTACAATCTACACAAACGTCTCAAACAGTGGTTGCAGAAGTTTGAAAGACAAATTTTGACAACCCAGGTCGCACACGAACCGAACAACCACCCCTTAGAAATGAGTGGATTTCCATGCAATGCGTGTCATCTAACCCAGAGTCCACCTGGACTTTTTGGGGTATGAAGATCGAACCCGGTGCATTTCCCAGCAAATCGGGTCCACTTGCTACACGTCTAGCAAATCAGGGTGCATCTCTTCCAGGATCCATGGTCGTCCTATCTTGGCAGACCCCGAACTTTGCCACATCCAGCCTGTCTACCGCCTAGCGGCAGGAGCTAAAGGAAGAACTCCATGCCAATGACAAACAAAAGCAGAAGGATGCAGCCACTCGGATTGAAGATGTTGACTGCCGAGCTGTCCAAGAAGCGCTTCAGCTGCTTTTGGGGAAGTGAGTGGTTTGAGATGCGGTATATAATATATCTCGTTAAACAAATAGATTCCATCCAGGGCTATCCCGGTGAAATGTGTGTTGGAGAAGCAAAACGGTTTCGTTTGCAGTGCGGCTGCAGTGAGAGGTGTACATACACGAGGTGTTGCCTTGTAGATCGAAACCAACCTGGCAGAGCCAGCCCCATTTCAAAACGCCACGGGCATCTACTGGAAAGTTAATTGATTTTTATACAACGTATTATACCGTATATGAATATGAATGTATTTTATATATAATTGCATTTTTGTGTTGAGGTTTTGCCTGTATTTTGCATGCAAAATGACGTGGCCCAGTTTAACCGTTGCCCGTGACCAAAAGTCGTAAAAATACGAGTGGTGGTCGACCGCTCCCAACATGTCCAGTGCACCGACCGTCGAGATTTCTTCGACCACGGAGGTGAAGAAGGTCATCGCCAACATGACCGTGGGGAAGGACGTCTCAGCGCTCTTCGCCGATGTGGTGAATTGCATCCAGACGGACAATGTGGAGCTCAAGAAGCTGGTGTACTTGCATCGTGTCAAAAGGATAAAAAAAGCTTTCAGTTGAGTCTTTTGTGTCTTGACTGTTGAAGTGAAAGTGAAAACGTGAAAGAACAAGGCAACTGAGTTTTTTCAAAGGTTCTTTAGTTTGTATTTCTTCTGAGTAACGTTAGTAACGTTGAGTAACTAACTGAGTAGGAAAAGACGTTTTCTTTCAGTTGGTCACATGCCGACGAAATTGTCGGCACCATCGAAAAAGGTTCAACAATGTTCAAGGGATCCCACCGTTCGAAGAGGCATGATCGGTGCCTTCTCCGGCATGTTCGGGACTGGCCTGTCGCCCCAGACATGTTTCCATGGCACCAGCAGTGGCACTAGCATTCCACTCGGCTCCTGGTCCTTCCGAGTCAGGTATGTGATGAACTACGCCAAGGCGACGGTGAAAAACGATTGAAACTGGAAGAAAACAAATGGTTTGGTCCTCCTGGTGATGTGGACTGTAGGATTTGTAGACTGACCGTAGACCTGGTGCAGGAAAGGTTCTTTTTTGTGTAACAACTTGATGCCTAAGACTCATTATATTTATAATCTATGTATAGATGATGTTGGAGATCTGATGGACGTTTTGGAATCTATTGGGTCTTTGGGGATCTACTAGTATGGAACTGTATGGTTTCGATCCGAAGAACTGACAGTTCCGGAACCAACATCCCGAACTTCTGGAAGGAAGATCATAGCATATCATAGCTATATATATATTATATATATTGTTTCAACCCTGTTCCCTTCGTCCAGTCTGCCCGGAGGCACAGCCGGAGCTCGCCATCCTGGCCTCTTGGACATGTGGATCAAGACAGATTGATTGGTTCTGTTGTTCTTTTTTAAGAGAAATCCCCCTTGCAACGGCCCATTCCTGTTTTTTTGAGTGGAAGTTCAACTGATCTGTTTAGGGATCAGAACTTGTCTATCTGATATCTGAGGATCATGTTCTTCCCTATCTTAGGCTAAGCAGGAGGACATGTGCTAGGTCTGCCTTTTGGTGTTTGCTCGGAACAGGACTCCACGGGTATTTGGATCACAGGATCCAGCCCTAAATCGGATTAGTGATAGGGATTGGATTGGGGATTTGGACCATCCGGTGTCACCGGTGTCGATGAGCGACAGGATTCAGCAGACACGTGTGTCGAAGTGCACACGGGACACGGCGCAGTCGGGGATGTCGAATGACCAAACAGTTAGGAGAGTCCAGTTAGGACTCAGGACACGGGGATTCTGCAGTCGACTTGCGAGTCGGTTCTACCAGCCCGGTGTCGGATGTTGGACGTTTTGCTCAGATCCACAGAACCAAGAGCAACCAAGGCCATCAACACCTTCCGGAAGGACGCCACGGACCCCAACCCCTTGATCCGATCGTTGGCGGTGCGGACCATGGGCTGCATCCGCTTGGATCAGGCGCGGAGAAGATTCCCCGCATGGAAGAGGACTGGTTGGGCGATATAGATGATAACCCATGGTTGGGATCCCTCCTCAAGGTCCTCGTGACCCAAGAACTTGATACACATCTCCTGGCGAAATCTCATTGTCCACCCCCGTTCCATATTCCATGTTTGACAAAGGACCAATCACCTGTAACAGTCAGGAAACAAGGGTAACAAAATCCGTCAAAACTACGATTTTTATACGGAAAAATAAGAATCCAATGATTCAAAACCAGTAAAAAGCTTCTATGAGTTGCTGGCAGCACTCTGAAGGAGTCCAAAGCGTTTCAAGCCTAGATGAGAATCAATCTACTCGATCACCAAAGTGGACCGGGTGCCCCCTATGTGCCCACCCTTCCTGCGAGTTCCTGGGGAGCGGCAAACCACCAGCGCAGCCAAGGTCACGGAGTACCTCTTAGAGCCGTTGCGAAGGTGCTGCCAGGACCATGATCCCTACGTCCGAAAGACCTCGGCCATTTGCATCCCCAAGGCCAGGACCATGATCCAGTCTTGCTCGACCCCTCGACCAGCGCCGTTGTTTTCACCCCAGCAGTTGCTTCAAGAAGGAACCACAGAAATTGGGTGAAACACACGACCCTACTGACCTGTTCTCTGACGAACACATTCAAATCCTTGCGAACGCATGGCGGGAACAGGGCCTGAGGGTGCCTTTCCTTTTTGTGGGGGAACACGTTGCGAGCGGAACCATTTGTTGGGTACTCTGTCCACCTACGTCATGTAGTTTCTTTGAAGGTATGTTAGCCCTACATGTCCGATGATCAGCTGAACTTGCTTGTCAGAATCTCCTGCAGGGTGTTCAAGTCCAGCATCCACTCATGGGACCTTGCCCTGACTGACTTCCACGATCACACCAGTTGCATACCCTTTGCTTTTGAGTTTTCGGCATGTCCTTTTCTGTGCATTGCGCGCATTGCTATATGTTGCTTTACTTGTTTGCCAACCATGTGGAACACTGGCGGTGCAGCCTCAGAGCTTCGGGGGTGACCGAGGCTCAGTGTGAGAGGTCGAACATGGTAGAACAGGTCAATGTGTCGCATGTGCCGCATGTGCGGATGGACTCTGGAGGGTTTTCATGTGTTTTCGGATGCAAAGTTGAAAAAGCATTGAACCCCGTGGAAGGTCAAGACCACTAGCAAGTTGTTCAATGTTGTTCATGATTTGAATATCGTATATATTCGTATATTATATTATATATAATATTTGTAATCCTCATGATTTATAGTCGGCAGCCATCCAAATGAGCACCGTTCTCGTCGACCTGGTTTGTCCATGACCGTGAAATCGCGACCCATGAGACTGTCGGACCTTACAGGAACTTTAGCATTTGGAGGTGGAGGATTGTCGTCTTTTCGGTCCCCAAACTAGCATGTGTTATAGCTTTTCCCCGCAACTCGTGTAAGATTCTTTGGCATGCCTTTACTAGGCTTTGCAAAATGCTGACATTCCAGAGCCGGCCTAAGATGAGGAGCAATCTACTGGGAGCAAAATGAACGATCCCCCGAATTGCTCAAGAGGGCCAGAAATGGCTATCTTAAGCAACTGAGTCCTGACATGTTCCTCCTTGTTTGTGCTAGGTTGATTTTGCGTTAATTTGCACCCATCAGCCCCCAGACAGCTCACCAAAGTCCGAAAGGCCTTTGCTCAAAGTTGGCGATTCTTGTTTTTCCTGGTGCAGGTCTATGATATCAATCCAGAGCTTGTGGATGATCAAGGCTTCATCGAGATCCTCAAGGACTTGCTGGGTGCCTTTGAATGAGATGTCAGGACCTGGACGATCCAGTTGGGTTCTCCAACATTCCAGCCAGGTGATCCCAAACAACCTTAGGTCAAAGCCATTTTGAAGAACTTCGGCGGAGCAGATGATGGAGCTCACCTCACTAACGGGTCTGTATGAATGCCTCAAGCATCCTAGGAAGCAGCACAGCCTTTTTGACCTCGCATGGTAGTTCTTCTGTAACAGTTTGCAGCATTTTCTGAAAGAGCAGCTTGGTACCAGGTTACCAGGAGTCCCGAGCCATTTGCCCCAAAACTATGTTTAGGAGTGCTCTCAGTTCTTGCATATTATAGACACGCAACAACTCTTTTGGATGAATTTAAGCTCTTCCAACTCCGCATTGTGTTGCCTCTCTCTTGGTGCAGAATGGGGTGGATGTCCCTTTCAGAGCCTTTTAACACACCGCTTCTCCTGTGAGGTGACGGGAACCCCATGGTGGTGGCGAATGCAGTCGCTGGGCTGGCGGAGATCTCCCAGACTTGTGGCCGTGATTTGCTGGAGTTGGACAAAGGTAACATTCCAAAACTCCTGGCCGCCTTGAACGAGTGCCTCTCGGTGTCCGCGGGACAATGGCAGTGGGAAGATGTGGGAAGGAGGAAGAGGGAAGAAGGAAGAGGTTGGTGAAGTAGAGGCACTCTTCAGAGCTATGATGAGCTTCATGATGAGCTTCATGATGAGCTTCATGTTGAGCTTCATGATGAGCTTCATG